TTTTCATTATAATTGATGCAAATTGCTGAAAAAGGTTGAAATTTTGCTAACTGTTCAGTGAACTCGTCGAGTCCATGGGGGACTCGACGATTCCATGTACGAACACATCCTACTCGTCGAGTAGGTTCATACGCTCGACGAGTAGGAGGCTTAAAGTGAATAATTTTGAGTTTTAATGCTTGAATTGGACTAGGATGATGAGAAATACTATCTTCGAAAGATGGAGGATATAAAAAAAAGAAGAAGAATGCTAATAACACCATGCATGCTTTGATTATGCAGGAAATGAAGTTGAAGATGAGTTTGGCGGAGTCGAGGTGTCTTCGAATGACTCTGAAGATGAATAGGTTTGCAGATCTACTCATGGAAGGAGCTTTGTAGCAAAGGATGAAGTTTAATAGTTTAATGGAAGGTGTTTAATGGTTACTAATGAAGTGTCAACGATGAGGGGTTATGCAACTGATGGTGGATGTAGCGCTGATAGTTGTTTCGCTGAGAAACTATTTCTTTAGCAGATAAGCAAGCGAGAGCATGTGATCAACACGGTAAACTCTATTCTTGACTCTATGAATATACATGTGTCTAGATATAAATGTGAATTGAATGACTTAAAATACACATTTTCAAGTTTTAGTGATAGTGTAAAACGAACTCATTTATCAAATTCTAACTTAGCCGATAAACTCGGTAGGGTTTCATGAAAGAGTGAATAGAGGTGCATGTGGATTAAAATATTGGAGTCAGATTTGTCTAATTCTAGGGATGAGTTAACTTATTTGTAGAGATATAATTTAGGTCTTTTAAAACAACGTAATATTTTTTGTTTGTTTGCCAAAAGCCTTTATTTTAATATCACTCAGTTACATCTTGACTGTGAGATTGGAAAGAAAATCCATAAAATGATCTTGCCGTTTTTTGAATTAAAAGAGAAAAAAATAGAGACTGACTGCTACATGTGAGAATCCATCGTCTCATCAGATGAAGTTTCGGATGCACAGAAAATAGGATTGGAAAAAAATCGAATCTTACATACAATCCAAAGAACACAAAAACATGCTTAAACAACTTTTGGACAAAAAAGACAAAGAACAAATGAAATCCGAACCTGTATAGAAGTTTGACTCATTATGAACCAAGTTGAGTTCGGAAAATAAACTTGATGTTGAAAATATTTCTGAATTCGACGATGAAAGTGATATGAGTGAAATCTCTGTGGAGGATGAGATTGATTGCTCTGAGTTTGTTAAAAGCGAATCTAATCGTGTAATAGTATAGTTGGTATGTTATGCACACACATATGTATGTATGTGTGTATATATATATATATATATATATATATATATATATATATATATATATATATATATATATATATATATATATATATATATATAAATTGCTCAAGTTTTAAATTTACATAACTGATTTTTTATCAACCGGACTAATAAACACACTATGGAGTTAACCTAATCGTGTAATAGTATAGTTGTGTTAGACCATGTGTCAAACACAAGGGGAAAATTGATGATTTAATTTAAAATTTTTTATTATAGGTTACACTAAAAACACAAAAGCAGTAAAGAAGGGTTTTATGGAATTAAACGCACGAAAACAATAACGTAGGGTTTTATGGAATTAAATCTCAAACAAGGTCTAAACATAAAATTTCGGAAAACTGATCGAAGACTAATCTCTTTAGGTATTTTGGTTTAGATGAAATACATCTTAAAATCATAGATAATTGCTCACACATTTTAATTTATGTGTGTTCACCGGTTCCTAAAATGACTAGTTCTAGTTCTATATAACTAATCCTTTGATTTAAACATAACAATTAATTCATTGGTCAAGTGAACAAACAATCATGCATATTAGTATTTAGTTTGTATTAAGCAAGATTTGATCTTTATTAATCCGAATGGTCATAAGAATTAAATCATGCATAGGTCGGGCGTCTACTCATGCATACACATTAAAGTTCATCACTTATTTCAAAACCCTAGGTTTTGGTCAAAACTCTAGCGGACAACTTTGATTCAAATTAACACCATCAGATGGTTATCTAAACTCTATAAATTCATAAATAAGGAATAAGTAATAATCTGTAACACATGGATCTTGAAAACATACTTGACAAAATAAATTAAACATGAATAAACAATCCAAATAGCAAATAATGCAGAAATTCCAGGATTCATCTAATCATAAACACAAAGAAAAGGGGTTTTAATCCCTAAATTAGAAGGTAAATGCATATAGAATTACATTATAAGGCTAATCTTGTTCAGAACAACAAACCACATGATTACTGGGATGAATCTTGTCTATAATCTTTCAGATCTTCGCTCGTGTTAGGTTAGCGGCCTTCCAGCCGCCTTCTAGACCCTCAAAACGGCTTCTTGGTGGTTTATAATTTCAGGAATCAATCTAGGGTTCAAGATATATCATTAGGGATTTTTTTTTATCTCTATGTATAGGTTTAGCATCAACACAACGTGATCTTTAATTAAATCCCGTATTTTCCAAGTTAACGATACGAATCGAGAAGATTCCTTCACCACGGTGTGTTTTTGACCTCCACCGCGTGTTCTTTGGGACTCCACATTTTCTCAAAAACGAAGTGATTAGAAATTCTTTCTAGTTTTCATAATATTTTGAATCTCGTCAATCAGAGTTACGAGTCATGAGATATGACCAAAACACTGACAAGGGGTCAAGCTGTCCAGCAACATCATTTTCACGTCCTTTTAGCTCCTTTGTCCTCTTTTTTTTTTTTTTTTTTTTTTTTTTTAATTCCAACTCCCATTTTAACTACAACTAAACATTTCAAGGAATATTAAGTATGTATTAGTTCTGACTAACATGAAAACATAGTATAAAATAATAAGAAAACATCATAAATATATGCATAAAGTAGACATTATCAAACTACCCCACATTAGTCGTTTGCTTGCCCTCAATCAAAATTGATTTTATTATTATCATATTAAGACTTTAGCTACCAACATCGCACAAGAAAATCCACTTTTAGCCTCTCGATTACTCCAAGACTGCAATGCAGGTATTTGTGTCTAAATTATCCTACGAACCTTCCTATTCCTAGATACTCATAATCTTCATATATACTTGCCAACTTCTTTTGAATAACGGTCAAGTTATGCATCCCTCAGAATCCATCTCCATAAATTTTTCTTAAGATAAATGTATTTTTGGTTAAATCCCCAGCATACATATAGAAAAATAACCTAGAACATAAATATTTCTAATAATTTTTAAATCCTAGTCATTTTTAAAAATTTTAATTTATCAATAAGCTTGTATTTGCAAATTTGACCCTCTAACCCACACTTATATGATTCAATGTCCCCATTGCATGCTAATCATTTAAAGAAGATAAAATTAAAGAGAGAGAATTTGAACATATTCCCTTGGGATATTAGTGGCAAGATCGAATGGGGCTTCTAAAAATTGGTCCAAAAATTGTTGAAAGACTGGAAATTAGAATTTTGCTTCTAAATGTGCTGGAAGACTTTGGCATCTCATATAATGGTTGGAAACGATACTTCTAGGCTCTTCTCGCATGAATGAAAATGTGTAGAATCAAAATAAACCATAAAACCATCTTAAGAAAGTATGTTGATCCTCATCCACGATGTGGGAAAGCAATGCCACATCATGGTGTTGAGTGAGGAGTTGTAATGATCGTGAAAGATAAGAACACCATAATCAGGTCTAATTGTGCCAAATCGTGGTGATTTCTTAGAATGTCTTTAAGAGCTAAAATAATGCATTTTTCTTTTTAAGGGTTTAGGACTATTCCTAAACTCTTTTTTCTGTAGAATTCCTTCGAAACTCTTTTCTTCATCAAGTACAGAACCCCACACTTATTCCAAAATAAGGTCTTTAATTGTAATCTTCATAAATCACACGATTTTTTCTCTCGTGGCAAGTCAACATTCAAACCCAATTGTTGATAAATCTGAAAGCAAACGAAGGGTAAAAATTCTTCAAAGATCTTAATCATCAAGAGCATCAACATGGAAAACAAAATTTAACAAACTAAAAATAAAAATAAAACCTCACTAAAATGACTAAAAATAGCAAACCAAAATAACTAAAAAGGATATCACAATTACTCGTATTCGTCGAAATCAAGCTACAATTGTTCAATAACTCCCTTGCATGCAAGAGGTGGTTTGTGAAAACAAAATCTTAAGGACCTGTCAAACTATTTCTTTGTTTTCTTTGCACCATTAACTAATAAGTATAACAATGGTTGATCCAAATAGTCAAGAGTAGCAAGGGTTTAGTCTTCTACTTAACCACCTTCACACGCCTTGCTATACTTCGCCTCGTGGATTGAGGTGGACAAATCACCAAATTAGTAGACTAAACAACTCAAGAATAAACTAATCGCTTCCAATCTCGAAATCCATGCAAAAAGATAAACCAAGCAATACGTATGATCATGAGTTTCTACAATTAACAACAAAAAGCTTCCTGACAAGTGATATGATATCAACGAAAAAAATAAAAAATTAAAATTAAAAAGAAATAACAAATAGTAAAAAAAACTAAATTAATTGAGAACCTTTCAATGGCAACAGTGCTAAAAATCATGGAAGTAAATCAACTTACATGTTAAATTATAAGAACATTGGACAATTAGAATGTATTTTATTATATGATACAAAACAATGTAATATTGTGAGTTTGTGTACCTTAGTTTATATAACTTAACTTTAAAGGTAACTTTTCTCATATATATATATATATATATATATATATATATATATATATATATATATATATATATATATATATATATATATAAAAGTTATCAATATTAATAGAAGTATAAAACACATTTTGTTTTCTATGATCGACCACCATAAAAGATAAGTGCTACACCCTTCTTGTTTCATTCTTTTTTCGCTGTCAGCTTCATAATCTATATTGTGTGTTTTGGAGAGAGAGGAAGTCATAAAGATCTAGAGGACATGGAGTTGAAAGAGGAGATGCATAACTTTATTAGGGTAGCATTATGTGCACTTATTTCACTTGGGTATTGCTATTTTGTTGGCAAGATTGTCCCGAAAGGTGTTTTAAGATTCCTCTCTATTCTCCCTGTTGTCCTCGTCTTTCTCTTCATCCCTCTGACACTAACCTCCGTTCACACGATCGGAGCTTTTTCCTTCTACATTTCATGGCTTGCAAACTTCAAACTCATTCTTTTCGCCTTTGAAAAAGGCCCCCTTTCATCACCTTCAACCACACTATTGCGGTTCTTTGCAGTGGCTTGTTTCCCGGTCGATGTTACTCAGTCCGATAAAGGGTTTTCGAATCCGAACAAAACGTCTTTGTTAACTTATGGCACGAAGGGAGTAATTCTTGCCATTTGCCTTCAGCTTTATCATCATCATAAAGAGGATGTGCACCCGTTGATAGCATGGTGCGTCTTCGGGTTGATTGTTTACTTAATGCTTGAGCTCTTCCTAGTTTTGAGCTCAGCCATAGTCGGGTTGTTTCTCAAGGTTGAGCTCGACCAACAGTTTGACGAGCCGTATCTTGCCACATCCCTGCAAGACTTTTGGGGACGGAGGTGGAACGTGATGGTCAACCGCATACTTCATCCGAGCGTTTACGAACCGATGCGTATACTCTCGATCAGGGTGGTTGGTCGATTGTGGGCCCCAGTTCCAGCAATCCTCACCACCTTCTTGGTTTCTGGCATCATGCATGAACTAATATTCTATTACTTTACTAGGGAATGGCCAACTGGGGAGGTGATGCTTTTCTTTGCTTTACATGGGGTTTGTTTGGTTCTCGAGGTGGTGATTAAGAAAGCTACAAGATATAAATGGAGTTTGCCGAATCAACTATCTAGACCACTAGTTTTGGCTTTCGTGCTGGCAACATCTTATTGGTTGTTTCTGCCAGAATTATCGAGGTGTAATGTGATCGAAAGAGCATTTGAAGATTACGTGGCTGTTAGTGAGTTAGCGACCGATGTGGTACGAACTATGCCAGTATTTTCCAAGTAGGAGTAGTTCCATGGCATTGCTTTTCAAATTTCAAATGGTATAATTAAGGACTTAAAGCATAAATTGTTTATGTAACAGTTCAAAGATGCAATATATTGTGTTTTTTGAGAACTTCACTTTTGCTTCCTAAGGTTTTGATTATTGTATTAACGTATTGATTAAATGGATTCTACAAATTGCGAATCATGATATGGACTGGAGTGGAGAAAATAAAATGTGAAATAAACCTAAAAATTATTAATAAGTGTGTAGTAGTTGGTTTACTATTAAAATGATAGTCCAAATTTCAATAGATATTGGGGAACTATACTGAACATTGACTTGTGTTGTGAGGTTCATACACAAGACAATAAACAGTATTCCATGTTAATAAATTTCAGTCACGTTCTTTTCGAAAAAGATGCTAATCAAGGCATGATTAAAGGTAATAATAATGTTTTTTATTCAAATATTAATGATAACATTGAAATCAATCTTTCGTTGGAAATGCCCATTCAGATAAGATGTGAGTGAATGATTTAGAATTCTGTGAAATGTTAGCCTAGTGGAAAATCACAACAACAAATTCTGGAAATTTTAAAAGAAACCAAAACCTAGTGGTCGGAAGGAGTACATGCCTCAACTATAAAACAAGTCAATATTTTGGAAATAACTCCTCGAATGAACTAATGTCAATAAGATAGAAGGTTTGAGAAGACTGGAGATTGTGAAGAGAATACGGGGGGAGGGGGTGTTGAGATTATATTTCATAAATGTAAAAGGGCTTTAATCACTTTGTAAAAAATTGAAAGGAAGAGAAATGTTTGAGAATGTTACTGACTAGATTCGTGAACTTAAGATGGTTAGAAGAGAGAGACAAGGCTCTAGTGGTGAAAACCAGGTAAACATGGAGATATGATCCTCTGGTTTAGATGATTGGGAGGAAGCAGATGAGAAAGAACATTTTGGTCACAAAGTCCTTGTTGATGTTTTAGTTGCACTGAGGTGTACTAGAAGTAAAGCGAGGCCAAGGGAGTTTAAAATTATGAAATAAAGAAAACACGATAAATACATGATAATGAGAGGATAAGGATAGTTTCCCTTTGGGAGAGATTTAGAAGTAAAGCAGGCCATGGAAGGCAACACTATGATATCTATTATATATTATTTAGACTTGCTTAGCCTAAATAATTATAAATAAACTCTTACTTGTTTTTATAACATCCATAGAAATCATGCTAATTTAAAACTTTTTAAATCAATCAAAAATCAATAATTATTACAAATTTGTTTTCAAAATGGTTTCGTGTCAGAGTATCCCAGAATCAAATCATAAAAACATAAGGAGGTGCACGATCACGCATTCATCTTCCCGCGATCATAAGAAGTACTTGAAACAAAATCAACAACTATAAGCCCGAAGCTTAGTGAGTTCCCCCAAAATGCCAAAGTCATACAATCATAATCATATCATATAAACAAACAGCATGCATAATGAGTCATCAACTTGACTGGACCGCCTCGCAGGGTCATCAGTCTATCTGGACCGCTCTTCGAGCCATCGCCACGTCTGGACCGCCTCTCAGGGCCTTCAGCCTATCCGAACCGCTTGTCGGGCCTTTGGCCTGACTGGTATGCCCTCCCGGGGCTGCAGTTTACCCGGACTGCCCTAGGTATGTTGGCCTTCAGCACAAAGCATGTCCGTCTCAACTCAACCTCCAATCAAACAATCATGAGCACGTAATATCATACACTACTATATATAACAGTCAAACCGATCTAACATATCACTAATCATAGCCACATCCTATAACCAGGATACTGACCCAACCGGTTACTAACATAGCATTATCCTATATACCAGGATACCGACCTGCCCGATCACTAAGCATGTCACCATCCTAACTACCAGGATGCAAATCAATAAGCATATAATGCAATAAACCCGGATACAAATCCTAAAAGGGTCGGCATTGGTGCCTTTGACCCTGTTAGTATAGTGAGGACAACTCACCTCACAAGTAGCTTGGGATGATAAATGCCAAACTCCACAAATACAACTCCAAACTCAATCACCTACATCCACCAATGATCCACGTTCATAAATTCCCAAATTACTAAAATACCCCCAGAAGTCAAACTGGTCAACCCCTGGTTAAAGTCAAACCCAATGGTCAAGGTCAACAGCCCATGTTGACCCAACTCGTCGAGTGTAGCCCACTGACTCATCGAGTCCTTCCAAAAATCAAGAAATTGTGAAAATCCTAGTTGACTCGCCGAGTCCATGCGGTGTCCAAATATCCACGAAAAATTGGTAACTGACTTGTCGAGTCATCTTAATGACTCGTCGAGTCCATGTAGAAACCAAAAACAACCAATCTTCATCTGACTCGTCGAGTTGACCATGCAACTCGTTGAGCCCCTTCAATCTATTTCTCATTCAGACATTTTAAGCTACCCTAAAGCTCTAAATTCTAGATCTAGCTTCCTAAGGCATAATTACCATGTAAAGTTGCACACTTTATGTTCATGTAAGGTTTTAAAGGCCAAAACCAAGCCAAAGAAGAGGTTCTAGGTAAGGAAAAGGCCATAACTTGCTAAAGACTAGAACTGTATGACTATAAGAACTTAGAGTTATCTAGATCTGAAGTTACAACCCAGATCCTGCCCAATACTCGAAATAACCCACAATCAACTAGAAATGGCCCTAAGCCTTTGCATGAAGAGACCTAGCTAGAGAGAAGTCAAGGTAACGACTTGTTACCTTCAAGATGAAGCCAAGATGAAGTAGAAATCAGATCCACAAGCTTCTCTTTGCTCTATGCTCCTTAGACTTCAATTTCTTTTCACAAAATCCACCTTCCAAGCTTCTTAACACAAAAAAAATGGAGAGTATGTGCGATTAGGGTTTTCTGAGCTCAAGGGGGATGGTAAGGGAGACAGAGGGAGGCTAATGACCCTTTAAATGGGGTGTACAACCCCGAACATTAGGGTTTTATTGCCCAGCTCCTACTCGTCGACTTGGGGTCCTCCAACTCATCGAGTAGACCACCTAAATCATGCGGCCTGATCCTCTTCTACACGACGAGTTGGGGCATCCAAGTTGTAGAGTAGGTCCAAGAATATGATTATAAGCTTTAAATTTTTATGCCTGGAAGTCGGGGTGTTACAATTCTCCCCCACTTGAACTAGACTTTGTCATCGAAGTCTGCCGCGATAAATAACTCGGGGTAATGCTCCCGCATCCTGCCTCTGGCTCCCTAGTCCACTCGGATACCCTCCAGTGTTACCATTGTACCTTTACTAAAGGTACTTCCTTTTTCCGTAGAACCTTCACTTTCCTCTCAATAATGGCTAATGGCCTATCCATGTGATTCAGGCGCTCTTCGATATGTATATCGTCTAAGGATACCACTGCCTCATCATCTAATATGTACTATCGCAAATGTAACACATGGAAAGTGTTGTGAATGTGACTAAGTTCTTTAGGAGATCCAGTCTATACACCACCTTACCAACCTTGGAAATGATCCTAAAAGGCCCAATATATCGGGGACCCAATTTCCTCCTCTTCCTGAAGTGAATCACACCCTTCCATGATGAGACCTTCAGTAATGCCATGTCTCCTACCTGGAACTGGAGCTCAGATTGGCTCCTGTTGGCGTAACTCTTTTGTCGATTCTGAGTGGTCTGCAACCGCTGTTTGATATTTTGAATCCTCTTGGTAGTCTGCTTAACTACCTCTGTTCGTCCCATCACCCTATGACCGATCTCATCCCAACAGACTGGGGTGTGGCATCTCCGCCTATACCACAACTCATATGGTGGAGCACTAATACTGGAGTGAAAGCTGTTTGTTGTAGGAGAACTCTACAAGGGGTAGGTAGGAGTCCCAACTCCTATCGAAGTCAATAACACAGGCTCTCAGCATATCCTCGAGACTTCGTACCGCTCACTCTAGCCATCTATCTGTGGAGGATAAGCCATACTAAAGTGCAGCCGCGTACCCAGTTCTTCGTGGAACTTCTACCAGAAACGGGAGGTGAATCAAACATCGCGGTCTGAGACAATATAGGCCGACACCCCATGGCGAGCAACGATCTCGTGGATATACTAGTCGGCCAGCTTCTCGGTCGATGATCTCTGCCGTATTGCTAAGAAGTGGGCACTCTTGGTCAACTGATCCATGATGACCATATAGCATCATAGCCCTTCGACATCCTCTGCAGCTTGGTGATAAAATCCATCATGATATGCCCCCATTTCTACATGGGAATTTCCAAAGGTTGCAGCCGATCATGCGGCCTCTAATGCTCGGCCTTGACAATCTGGCATGTCAAGCACCTCTCAACATGCTATGCAATCTCCCTCTTCATGCATGGCCACCGATACTCCATCGTAGATCCTGGTACATCTTGGTGGCTCCCGGGTGAGTAGAGAAGCGAGAGTTTTAGGCCTCCTCCCTAACAATCTGTCTGACCCCACCTGACATCGGAACCTAGACCCAACCGCAACAGTTCAATAATCCACGACTATCCTACACAAATCGGGTGTTCTCACCCTTAATCCTCTCAAGCTTGCAATTCTCTAGTCGCATACCCTCATCCTGGAACTCTCTAATCAATCCCACGAGTGAAGAATCCATTGATATCATTATACATGTCACTGGAGTAGACGATCTAGCTATCTTGCGGCTCAGCGCGGCCGCAAACAGATTCGCTTTACCTTGGTGGTGAAGAATCTCACAGTCTTGCGGTTCAGCGCGGCCGCAACCACATTCGACTGATCGATGATGTGCCTCGGACTCTTGTGGTCCGTGTATATGGTATAGGGACCCAATAGAGGTAATGTCTCCAAATCTTGAGAGAGAATACTACCGCTCCCAACTCAAGATCATGAGTAGGGTATCTCGTCTTGGGCGGCTTCAACTGCCGCGGTGTGTAGGGTATCACTCGTCCTCTCTGCATGAGGACCGATTCCAGTCCCATGATGGATAGATCAAAGAAAATTCCAAAATCCTC